GAATGCATTTTCTTCTAGAATAATGATTACCAAACGGTGCCTAAAAGAATTTAGTTTGGAATGCTATTGGAATCCTAGTCAAGTTGAAGTTCTATTTTGGAAGTTGATTGGGAGTTGAAAATTGGTATTGGATTTGAAGAAGTGTTTGGAATGGAGAAAAACACTATTGAAACTTTTTTGGCCAAGACCTAGTGCCTATTTTACAATAGCAAGGCTAGAGCCTTGGGCACCCAGGGTGTGGCGCCTGTATGTTCCGAGTTTTCCACGTTTTCTCTCATTTTTCGTTTTAGACTCGATTTTTTGGCATCATAATTCTTCAATAACTCTATTAGGAGGGTTTGGACGTCCCTTACATGTTCTCCATAAATATTAGGCTCTTCTAAACAATTTTGAAAAGTGAGAAAATAGATTATTAGAATTTAGGATCATTGTAATAGTTCTCAATTTTCATTATTTGTGGTGCAATAAAATCTCATAATTCCTCTACCATATTTTCTTATCTTCTTTTATTGTTTTGCTTGTGATTATATACTTCATATTTTGTCATATAACTTCAACATCTCATTCCGATAGTTGATTCCTTAACACTTAAAGTTAGTTCCTAGAATTATAGCCATCCTACTCTCATGTCAATATCACTAGACTTTTATCCATTCTCATTGCATCATGGAAGGGGACCAAATCCAAATAGAAAAAACTTGCATTAGGTTTACAGATATTGAGGCTTGAACTAATGACTATAAGTCCTAAGTACGTTAACTTGAAATGACTAAAATGCTCAAACTCAAAACATGCCTTCAGAATTTACACTAATTTTATTTTTCATCGTTAAAAATATAATCAAAAACCTCCCTCAGTCCTAATTTCGTCTTCTTCTTTATTGGCATTATTCCCATTATAGATTGTATTAAGCGATTATATTTCAATAACAAAAGAAAAGATCATAAGCGGAATATTACTCTCCATATAACAAGAATTGAAGTAAATCTTTGATTGTATACATACTGATTTCTCACAATTTTCCATTTCATTCAACAGTTATGTGGTTATTCTTGATTAGTCTACCCATATAAATCTTGTATGACTTAACTACCTAATAAATGCAATTATTAAAATTCATGATATTAAACGCACACGATCAATTAAGTATGAACATGTGTTAGTCATAAAACTCTAAAAAAAATCTCAGTCCATCTTGCACCTTGAAATTTTTAATTAATGAAAGTTCAAGTTTTAGATGACACGTCCAAATATGCATAAATTTTGAATCATGTATAAGTAGAGGTGTCAATCCGAGTGGTCCCGGTTGGGTCGGCCCGCCAACATATG